AGGGGGACCCTCCTTCGTCCCAGAAAGCCATGTGTTTGGGTTTTCTATTGTCGATCCCACTATTGACATATTTGTTGGATGTGCTCTGCTCCCTTTGTGATCTGGTTGTCAAGTACCTCCTCCTGCACCAAAGTGTATTTCCAAAGTCACCTCCTCCAGGAAGCTCTCCGTGATGTGCGTTATTCTGATCCATCCCCTGCTCTGCCTGTTTATTGGGATCGGGCACCTGCTGGGCAGGAGATGTGGCTGTGACAAACACATGGGCCTCGCCAGGCTGCACAGCCTCCCAGCCCAGAGGGAAAGGCAGACTCTCAAAGAGAACACTAGGGAACGTTGCGCTGGACCAAAGGAATGCACAGATGCTGGGAAAGAGCAGGGGAGGGATCAGAATAACGTATCACGGAGGGCTTCCTGGAGGAGGTGACCTTTGAAATACGCCTTGGTGCACGAGGAGGTACTTGACAACCAGATAACAAGGGGGAGGGTGTGTCTTTCATAAAAACAAGCTACACTCATGCTGGGGGGAGGGGTACCTGCAAAGCAGGGGTCCCCGAAAGAAATGAGAAATAGTCAGCGTTGTTGAAGTTGCCCAGAGTTTGGGGCTCAGAAAATTTGAAAGAAAGTATTTTAATTTTGTCACACATGGATTTTGTGTCGTTCTGACATTTGAAAACCTGTTTCTGAATTAGCAGCAGTGAGCGGGGAGGCGTCTCGGTCCTGCCGTGCATTCCGGGTGTGAACAGGTGTGCACGGTCTCAGCGAACTGGAGAAACACACCGGGTGGCGAGGTGGCTGACGCCCAAGCGTGTGGGGTGGGAGCGGTGAAGCTGAGCGACAGGCAGGGACCCCGCCCACGTGCCTTGGTCCTGAAACACCCTCCCAGGAGTCGGCCATCCACCTGGTGTCACCTCCTGCAGGAGGCCCTCCTTGCCCTCGGCCCTGCCCGGCGCTGCGTGCTGCTTTTCCCTCCCCTGCAGCCCGCGTGCACCCGCGCCCGTGCTCGCCCCGTGGCTTCGTGTGATTTGTGATACTTGAGCAGTGAGGGGGCATGGACGCGTGAGTTTTTCAGTGATTTCTGCAGCGCGGTCACTCACGTGCCCCTGGGAGTGTTTTCCTCCCGAAGGAGAAAAGCAAACAGTCCCCTTCGGAGTCGCACCTGGGGTGGAGCTGTTCACTCATTCACTCACTCATTCATTCACTCATTCATTCATTCATTCATTCACTCATTCACTCATTCATTCATTCATTCATTCACTCATTCACTCATTCATTCATTCATTCATGCACCCGTGTCTCCACCAGGCCTGGCCCAGATGCCAGTGGTTCTAGGAAGGACCGAGCCCCACCCCTGTGCTCAGGGCGGTCTGAGGGGGCAGGTCGGGAAGTAAATAATGATTTCATCATAACATTTTGAAAAATGCATTGTAAGAAAAGCGCCTTATTTACTTTAAATTACTTGTTGATTTTGAGAGAGAGAAGCATCAGTTTTTGTCCCACTGATTCAGGCATTCACTGGTTGATTCTTGTACGTGCCCTGACCGGGGATCGAACCTGCAACCTTGGTGTGTCAGGATGATGCTCTACCAACTCAGCTGCTCCGCCAGGGCCAGGAAAAGCACTTTCATGAGGGAAACGGGGGCTTCCCTGGCCAGAGGCCTGGCAGCAGGCGAGTCACCGCCCTGCGGGGAGCGCAGAGCCCGGCCCGGAGCCTGGCCCGATGTGTGAACCCTGCGGTGTCCAGCGGGATGTGTAGGGGTCTTGGTGACCGGTTGCGGTTTCCTGATTGCCCGGGGAAGCCGGGTGCGGCGTGGGGCATTGAGAAGCAGCAGGGCAATGGTTATGCCAAGGATGCCAGGGAGCCTCGAAGAGCTGGCAGCAGCCAGAGCCGGGCAATTTGGGCAACTCGGTAACAATATAACACCCGCTTACAACTCAGAGTCTAAAATGCACAGTCATGAGTTCACAGCGGTGCAAATGAATGTTGAACAAGTAAATAAATGGGGAGAAGAGAGGACTCTCCCAGTATCCCCCTCGCCCCTCTACGCCCCCCG